GGGTCGTAAAACTGCCAGCCAGGCGCGTCAGGAGGAAAACCAAGGAAGACGCAGGGAATGGCGCGAGCAGAGAGCTTGTCCGCGGTGAGATCGCGGACAAAGGCACGAGCACCCCAGACCCGGAAACGCGACGCATCGCCAACCTCCCCCGTCCACAGCAGCGTGGGCGAGGTCTCCGGCAAGGAGACACGGGGCCAGAGGTTGAGCTGATGCGCGGCGTACCGGACCGCGAACGGCCACAGAAAATGGGGAGCCGCCGCATGGATCATGGAGGTACGAGCGACCTCCATGACTAAGCCAATGCGGCGCTCAGCAACCCCATTCTGCTGCGGAGAGGCCGGAAGCGTGAACGACTGGGTAATGCCGTGCTCCGCACAGAAGGCTGCCAAGAGGTCAGAGGAGAACTCACCACCTCTGTCAGAGTGCAGACGCAGGACAGGGAAGTCCCGCTCGAACCGCTCGCGGAGCTGGAGACGCACAGCGCGGATCCAGGGGATCAAAACAGCAGGGACGTCCCCCTTGCTGCGCAAGGGGAAGACCGTGGTGTAACGCGTGTAGTCGTCGACAACCAGCAAAAAGTACCGCTCACGGCCCTGTCCCTGGACGCGGGCTGGGCCCCACACGTCCAGGTGGAGCGTCTGCAGGGGAGCCTCTGTGGGAGGAAACGAGGAGGAGTGAGGAGCGGCGCGCTGCCGCCCCTCGACGCAGGGAATGCAGGGCGGCGCAGGCGAGGGAGGGAGGGCAGGCAGAGACCTGGGAAGCCCAGAGACCAGGGAGCGAGAGTGCATGCCACGAAGGCGAGGAAGGGAGGGGTGACCAAGGCGGTGGTGCCACAGAAGCGTGTCGTGCGACAGGCGGCGGCACTCACACTGGGTAGCTACCTGAGCAGACGCGTACAGCTGAGGAGACAAAGGAGTGTAGCGTGAAACAGTGGTGAGGGTGTACAGACTAGACCCCGGCTCACGAGTGAACGTGGCCAGGTGGCGGCCAGTCTTGGAGCACGTGCAGATCGCCACACGCTGCCCTCCAGGAGTCCAGGTGTCAACCCAGTGATCCTGGAGGACGGCGTTGCTCACCAGGTTCGTAGAGAACGAGGGAACGTGGAGACCTGACAGCTCACCAGACGGGACCGCCGGGCACGGGAGCACAGTCGTGGCTCGTGCAAGCACTGGGCCCCCAGAGGGGTCAGCCAGTGAGACAGGGACAGGTGCAGGGAGGGGAGTGACGGTGGTGCTATCGCGAAAGAAACAGCGGGAAGCACCAGAGTCAAGTGTAAACGTGTGCAAGGCCTGAGTCGACTCAGTACCAAGGGGAGCAGACTCACTAGCACCTAGGGCTGCAGCCCTTATACCGGGGTCAATACCAGGATCAGGCGGCACACACAAGTAACAGTCACCCTCAGCACTAACAGTCAATGCATACATGGCAGCAAGAATAACATCATAGTCCAGATCAAAGATAGGCACATCACGCCTAAGCAGCTCGGCCCAGTTGGGGAACTCAGTAGCATCAGGATACTTGGCACGCCAGGCGTCACTAAGCCTAGCAAAACAACGATACTCAGTGTGAAAACCGTTGCAGGGGCGACCCTTGCGGGGGCCAGTACGAATGACATAGGGGCAGCGGTCAGAACCCCGAGACGCCCCACGCCCAGCATACCAGTCATTGAGCTGCTGGGAGGTGAGGGGAGGAAGCTGCTGCTGCTGCTCTGGCTGCTGCTGCTGCTGCTGCTGCTGCTGCTGGCCACCAGTGGGGCCACCCTTCTGGCCAGATCCACCCCCACTCCCACCTCCACCGCCACTGCCGCTGCCTCCTCCCCCACCACCGCCGCCGCCGCCTCCACCGCCCCCGGTCCTGCCGCCACCCCACCCACCGCCTCCACCCCCACGGCCACCCCCACCACCTCCACCACCCCCGCCGCCTCCACCACCGCTCCCTCCACCGCCACCTCCGCCACCCCTGCCACCCTTGCCGCCCCTGCCACCACCACGCTTCCCACCAGGAGCGGAAGCCGCTGCGACCTTCTCCGCACCGAGGAAGTCGACAGCAGTAGCAGCAGAGGCGTAGGAGGGGTCAAGAGGGGAGGGGGAGCACCCCTCAAAGAGGGGAGTGCGGGGAGTGCCACGAGCAGCACCGACAGCGAGGATGTTCTTCTCTGCTGCGACCAGCTGCTGCTCGAAGTCGTCCAGAGTGATAGTTGGAGGATCCTTGGCAAGGAAGTGATCCCTGACAGAGCGAAGAGTGTCAGGGAGGCGGGTGACGAGGATGTAGAGGGTGAAGTACAGCGGGGGGGTGTTCGTGGCGAGGAACTCGGCGGTAAGAGCGGCTCGAAAGCGGGCGTCACTAGCGCGGAGGTGAGTGATAAGGTCGGCAGCAGTGTGAAACGAGGCTAAGTCTGGGAACAGGTAAGGCAGGATGAGACTACCAACGGTGGCTGTGGCCGGGGCGGAATAGCGGGCAACGACAGCATCATACAGCGTCTTAGCAGTCTTAAGCTGGTTGAAATGCGCGCGCTCAGAGATCGGTAGGTGATTGCGAATAACAAGGCGCGCGACTGCGTCGCGGAGCTCCCACTGTGCTCGTTCAGGGGCAGGAGCAGTCTCAGCGGGAGTAGGGACAGTGCCAGTGACATAGGCTAGTAGTGATACTCCGTCTGCGACGTCAGTCATAAGGTAAAGCCGCAGATCACTAAGCCAGGTGTCAAACTCGATGGGGCGGCCGTCAGGCTCAAAGGCGAGAACAGTAAGGGTCGCCATGGTTGCAGCGCAGGCAAAAGTAGCAGGCTCAGGCAGCAGGCTCAGGCAGCAGGCTCAGGCAGCAGGCAAAGGCTGCAGGTTCAGGCAGCAGGCAACTGTAGCAGGCAGGTGCGCAAGGCAGACGGTAGAGGCGCAAGGCAGGCAAGAAAAAGACAGGGTAAACCCTAAACCCTGGCGGCAGGTACAGGCGGACGCAATGCACGGGGCAGCAATGCGCTGTACGAGAGGCAATCGCGACGTGCAGGGCCTAGGCGGGCCGCGCACGGACGGTAGGTGCAGCGCGCAGCGCTGGAGTGGGCCGCGCAGGCAGCAAACGCGACGCGCGGGGCGGAAAGGGGCTGCGCGCGAGCAACAGATGCGACGCGCGGGCTGCAGACGGGCTGCGCGGGGCCTTAGCGGGCTGCGCGAGGCAGGGACGGGCCGCGCGCGAGCTGTGCGGGCTCAGGGCGGGCTGCGCGGGCGACGGACGGGGCGCGACGCGGCTGGCAGCAGCAGTGCGCGCTAAAAAAAAGGCGTGCGCGCGCAGCCGAGGCGCGCGCGGGCAGCAGGCTAGGCAGACAAACAGGCAAGGCAGGTAGGCAGGCCGTTGGTGAGGTAACTTAGTAACTGGTGGGCCCTTAAACTTAGGTCCTAAGAACCTGCTCTGATACCATGTCGAGATAGCTAGGCAAGGTGGTTCGATTGACGAGAGAGTTTGGTACAAGAAACACAACCCTAAAGTGTTATCCCCTATAACATCTACCCCACTACAGCCTACCAATATATATCACACATATATATCATTTGACATTCAGTTGTCCTCACTGGACACTCAGACGCTTCTTGGGTTGACGACCTGGCTACGCAGCGGTCGTCACAGGGTTACACGTTCAGCCTTGGCTCCGGCTCTGTTTCTTGGCGGTCTACACGCTCGTCTTCTTTTCTCAGCTCCAGTTGTGAGGCTGAGTCAAAGTATTAATGTGTAGGCTGTAGTGGGGTAGCCAATATGTGGTACAACCCCTGGGTTTAGAGTTTGTATTTGTACCAATATCTCTCATAGTTCATTCATTTCATAGAGGCTGACAGTCATCTTTTATTTTTTTCCCCAGGGAGCCTCATGGATGAGCGTCCTTTGGGGACGGAGGAGACTTCAGTCCAGATTAGTCTGCCACCTATCCAGAGGCCATAGTCTTGGCACAACTTCTACTGATAATCTCACTTTAGGTAGGTCAAATTGGAAATGGCATGTTCATTTCACTAATGAACGTCAATCTCTTAGTCACTACATCCCAACAATTTCCCTAAAATAAAGCTTGCTCATCCAGCGGAAGCACCGAGGTGAGTGCAAATGCCGCCGAAAATGGCTATACTAATGATTGTGAATCTATGAAGGGACCAACCATACCTTCCCCACTAGCACAGTTGTGGGGGTGTGGTGGTGGTGGGGTTGTGCAGAGTGCAGATGGCAAGCCAAACAACAGGGTTGAGTGAGGGTAGTCGGTGGGGGGTGAAGGGTGGCATTGTGCATGGGATGGCGGGTGTGGTGGCAGGGTGGTAAGAATGGTCGTAGAGTTGGTGGGGGATTTGTCGATAGCTGGCACGTATTATGGGGAGGCGCGCTTGTATGATTGCTGTAGCATGGCAGCAAAGTATAGGTGCATGCTGTGCGTGACAGTCGCACGACAGATTGAGAGGTGATATTCACATGAGCAGGTGATGGCTTGAGCAGTGGTGACGCGATGATGAAAAATGGATTGGTGGTACACAGGGATTTGCATGAAGCTGACCGGGGACAGCGGCAGGAGAAAGTGCAATGCAGCAGGAACTGGAGCGAAAAGGTAACGCATCTGATGCTATGTAAGTGTGCATGTGATGGCATGGGCCAGCAGATGTGATGGTATGGAGCAGAGGATGTGATGGTATGGGGCAGAGCATGTGAGGGTATGGAGCAGAGGATGTGATGGTATGGAGCAGAGGATGTGATGGTATGGAGCAGAGGATGTAATGGGGTTGGGACCGCATGTGATGATCGGAGGCAGCGCATGTGATGGCGTCGGTCAGGCAAGGCATACGATGACTGAAATGGACACAAAAAATGTCGTCGGGCAAACCGCTTATCGACCCTGGGAAACATGTCTTGGTTGGTGGTTGGTTGGTGGCTGATGATGGTTGGTGGTTGTTCGAGGCTGATGGCATCAACGCATGCCACGCAGCAGGTGTGGCACGTTGCAGCAGCGGGTTCAGTTGAGCGCGCCAGTGGAGCGGTCAGAAGAGCGGGCAGCCGAGGGCGACCCTGGCGGCGCCGAGGAGGAGCGACAAGGTGGAGAGCGACCGCAGCCGCTGCGACACGCGGAACACCGTCGACAGGAACCACCCAAACCGCCACCGCCGCTTCTTTGCGCCCGCCTGTGATGGTGAAGCGGCTACCACGGCCTTGCTGCCTGCGGCGTCACCGGAAGTCGCTGCTCTGCACACCGAGCACCAGCGCGCAGCTGCCGCCACTTCTTTTTCGTCCACGCCGTCTCTCCCATCCACGCTGGAACGCGCATCCGCGCATCTTGCAAGCCCGGCAGCGCGTGAGAAGCTCATGCTGCGCGCACACAGCTGCAGAGGCGGCGTGGCGCGCTGACTAGTGCCAGCCGTGTCTATTTCCCGGGCGACGGGCGACGAGTTGGCGGCAGCGTCGGCGGCACGGTGGCACTCCATGATGGGCAGGAACGGAGCGACGCGCCCCTCCAGTGACACCAGATCCGATCGGGTCCGCCGAAGCCGATTCAACCCCTTGCTCTTCACCTGCTCGAATCCCTCCAGACTCGACAGCACCGCCTGCCCCACCGTGGCTGATGATGACGCTGCTGACGCCACCGTTCCCGGGCAAGCAGCCGGAGTGGACGGTGCAGGAACCGCCGCGTTGCCCGCCGCGAGGTGCGCGAGCATTCGCGATCGAATTCCTTTGGTGACACCGGTCTGGTAGGTGGAGAGCAGATGGTGGTTGAAGACGTCGAAGTGGATCTCCAGCGCGAAGCTCGCCTCGCGCACGCAGCTGCTCAGGTCCTCCGCCTGCGCCAGGTGCACGGCGCCCTCCGTGGCCTCCGCCATGGGGTCCAGCAGCAGGAAGTTGCCTGCGAACGCGTACTGCTGCGCCGTGCGCGCCGGCCACAGCAATTGACACGCCCCCGACAGCACAAGCCTGAGCGGGCCCGGCAGCAGCGACTCAGCGGCCTGCAAGGCGGACGCGAAGGGGATCTTGGTGGCCCGCTGGAGCAGGCCCAGCGCGAACCGGGCGAGGCGCAACGCCTCCATGGGCTCGGTGGCGCCGCCCCCACCCGCGACGCGCTGAAGGAGCGCGACGAGCGGAACGATTCGCGGCACGACGTCGTTCTTGGAGACGACGTGGCTGTACACGTCGCGGTACTTGTCGTTGATCAGCTCCGCCAGGCTGGGGCTCGCGAACAGCGGCGCGCCGAACGTGATGCACTGCACCTGGCCTTTGTGCGTGCAGAGACCGCGCGACTCGGCTGCTTCCAGCAAGCGCAGGGCCAGCAACGCGGAGACGGCGCCGCCCAGGGAGTGGCCCGTGAAGACGAGGCGATGTCCGTCGGCTAACAGTCGAAGCAGCGGCTCCACGCAGACGCTCTCAGCCCGCTCCACGAATCCCATGTGAGCCGTGCCACACCCGACACCACGAATGCCCCGGGGGAAAATCTTGAGATCTTGCAGGATATCCCAGGCGTCCGCCGTTCCTCTGCACGCCACGACGACGTGCCCGTGCGTGCTGCGACCCACCAGTATTGGTTGCTGCGGCTGGCTGCCACCCGGAAAATCAGGTAGGTGCAGCAAATCCAGAGCACCCACGGGGAGATCGTATTTGGATTTAAGGACTGAAAGAACCTTCTCGGGCGATGATTCGTAGACTGCGAGCGAAAACACAAGCGCGTCAATCATCTGCTCTCGGAAACCCGATCGGGCCAGACAATCCACCCGGCGAACCATGGCGGACCCCTAATGTGATGACCGATGCGCGAGAATCAGACTACAGCAAAGCGGCAAGCAGCTTCTAAGGTGCAAGACGAGCGATCCCAAAGGACGTCTCGGCGAGCCGAGCACTGTCAACGACCATATCAGGCCGCAGGAAAGGCGACGCAGATTGTGTGTCTGTGTCTGCGAGATCGGCTGGCTGAAGCTACTGGAATGCCCTAGCAAGAGAGTCAAGCGAATTTGATGGGCAAGGGAGATCTCAGTAGCTGGCGGGGGGGGAGGGGAGGGCTGATGGTTCGTATGGAAACAGGATTTCCCTGCCCTAAGATGACAGCGGTATGGTAACCACATCGGACAAAAGGCGGGAGAAGAGAGGTTTCTTTTATGCGAAACTTGTATCTCGAGCCGTCCGTCCATCCGTGTTTGACGCAACACCATGGGCCCATCCAGGCTCGGCACCTGTCGGACGATAATTTAATCAGCCGCGCACCACGTGTCGGACTTAGCTTCGGATCTACGTTGCCTGTCAGACGATAATTGGGCGTCAACCGGGCATTCAGAAGGCAACCAAATCCTAGCCGGCCAACTTCATTGATACTCAAATTATGCCTGACGCGGTTTGCAAACGTACTCAACCGACAATTTCGCAGTATAGTCAGTACAAATACTTCACATACCTTTTATAAGCACAATACTGAAACAAAGTCGCCCCCAGCAGGTCCGCACATACCCAGCCAAAAAGGGAACATACTAAAACGCTTGGATAACCAAGAAATAATCTGGTAATGTTAACCGTAAATACGGGATGTAGTATAGTGTTTAGGTTTTTATGCTACAACAAACAATACCACCCAGCGGAGCTTGCTACCCGAAAGGCATTAAGAAACAGCCCTCCTACTGAAAGGCATCCAGTAAGGATGGCATCAACCCTTAAATCCTTGTCGCATGACGTCGTCGACCCTATTCCATTAAGTAATTCCTAGTCTGCATTATTTTCCAATGGGTTTTTTATCTTTACAAAATTCGCGCGTTATACAATTTTTCTTTGTAAAAGGTTGAGCATTCAATGATTTTTTGTCTATTGTAAGGTAGCACCTCCACACAATATTGTCTAATTAAGTTCGGTTATCACGTTCTGTTTCTATCACATTCCGGAGGTGTTTTAGCCTGAAAAGTGTGATTGAAAAGCGAGAACCAATCAGCGATGAGAAATCGAAGTTGAGTACGCTTGCAAACCGCGTCAGGCATAATTTGGGTATCAATGAAGTTGGCCGAATCCTAGCGCGCCAAACATCTGTGCTTTCTGCAACTGACGGTGGATCAAGATAAATGAATTAATTATATATGGTTAAATTAGGTTTAGCTCATAAAAAGTCGATACTTGAACAACTGCTGTTGGAAAGAACTGAATTAGGATTTGCATGAGTCCTTCGCCCATCACTCTTAGAATAATATTTCGAGTGCAGTGTTTTTTCGTTAAGCTGGAGCACTGACTGTCTGTATCTGTTGGCACCCTTTGGAGTGTCAGAAATTGCTGTGGACTCTGCTAGTAGCATGCTGGTAGAAGTGACTTGGCAGTGCGGACGACACATTTGGATTTGGTATGGTCTGCTTCACCCCCCCCCCTCCCAACCCCCATCCTCTCCTCCAGCTTCATCCATTCCCAATTTCCCCCTTTCTCTCCCATTCCCTCCTTCTCCCCCATGTTCCCCCTCTTCACCCACCCTCCCCTCCCTACTGCCCACACCAGCAGAATCGGGAACTTGGAGGTGTCAACCATTTGCAAGGGGCATATCCGGGCAATGTGGGTACGTGGCCTTGAATCACAGGTGAGCCCAAGGTGGCATGGGGCATTCAAAGCACCAGTCAGGCCCCGAGTAACGGCAGCAGTGCAGCCACAGGTGTTGCTCCACTTGCACGCCCCTGGGTACAAGTGGGGAGAAGGTTTGTGAAAGCACATTCACCAAAGGCAGCAAGAACTTGGGAGGTACACTTGTGGCAGAAAATATGGCCAACAATTGGATCATATGTGGGAAACTAAGGGGAACATGTAAGGATGGGCAGTGGGCACTGACTCTGCAGGGATGAGGGGGCAGTGTGGACAGAGCGGGTCGGTGAGATGCTGAGGGATACAAGGCACTGCAGCAGCTGATAAGAGTGGTGCTGCTGCCGCATTGCCCTCTGCCTGCTCCTCCACCGCCTCCACTGCCCCTCCCTTGCCCTCCGCTTCCTTCACTCCTCCCTCAGTAGCACCCTCATTCAAAATCGAATTCGTCGCAATACCCTCCTCCTTAGCAACGCCCCTCGCGGTGTGTGACCCCACAGTGGCACCTGCAGCGCCATCCTCATCTCCACATGAAGGTGCACCTTGTGCGCCTAAACCGCACTCCCTCTCCTGGTCCCTTGCCTCACCCCCCCCTTCCGCCCCCAGGTGTGTGTGCACGCGTCCAGGGGATGGTGCAGCTCCATTGCACACATCCTGCTGCACTCGCGCTGCCTTGCATGCTCTCTTCCCTTCCCCACACATCCTCACAGCACCCAAGTCATCCGATGCACTGCAGTTGCCCCCTTTACTGCCACCATGCCGCCCTAACAGTCCTCCCTCTTTCTCACTCACACGGCCCTCCACGCCACCAGATTCCTGCAGCGCATCCCTGCCGTCCGTTGTATGCGTGCCTCTGCTGCTCCCTTTCACCTCAGCCTCTGAGGCACCATCACCGCTTCTGCAATTATCCTCATCCTTGCAATCAGCAGCAGCAGCAGCAGCAGCAGCAGCAGCATGTGAGGCAAGAGTGGTTACAAGTTTGACCGGCAGAGAGGCAGTAGAGGGCCAAGAGGAGGAGGTGGCCCGGGTTGAGGGGAGGGGTTGCAGGGCAGGGGGCACATGGGGTGGCGGAGGCAGGTAGAGGTCATCGTTGGCCACGGGGTGGCCCACATGCTGCAGATGCACTCGGATCTGACATGCACCATGCACAGGCACATGAAAGGCCAATCAGGGAAGGGGGGAAAGTGCAACAGATAAGGGTTGTCGAAACATGCAATCCTGCGCGCTGTAGGTCTTGGAAACTCATAAAACTTCTCCCAACCTTGGCTATAGCATCCCCTTGGTCACTCCTAGATTCTGCAACCCCCTCTCATGGACACCCTGTCCATCCCTGCACAGCACAGCGCAGTAGTGCCAACCCACCTGGTGAGTGCGGCCTGTGCGAGGTGAGCAGCGCACAATGCTGCACGTGCCATCGCCTGCCACCGCCTGCCGCTCAAACACAGTCACTGCCGCCTTCTCCTTGTCGTCCTCTGCACCCCCTCCACCAGCCCCCGCTGCACCCTTTGCCTGCACCCTGGCCTGCCTCTTCGCCATCGCCTTTTCCCTCCTCACATCACGTGCCTTTCTTGGCCTAGCTGCTTTCTCCTCACCGTCACATTTCCCAGCTTTCTCCTTCTGCTCCCCTCCATCCGTCTCCACCACCGTTCCCTCTTGCCCCACGCTCTCCTTATCGCACATAGGCTAATGCCAAGAGGGGAACATACGGGAATGGGAGTTGCAGAAGAGGCAAGTGGATGAGAAAGCAAGGGAGCTGGGCACGTACGGATGCTCCACATGCCAAACAGCACCACCAAGAAAGCACGAGCACAAACAAGGACAGGAGAAAACAGAGAACGGAAGGGCACAGCCATAAGTGGAGTGTAAGCGAGGGCCGCATGCGCACACACCTGCAGTGCTGTGGGGTGCTGTTCCGTGTCAGGTGGAGGTGCAGGTGTGGTGACCACACGGCTGACGCCCATGCGCGCATCATACACCACTGGCGCACTCACCTCCACCTGCCCACCCACGCCAGCACGCGCAACACGGACGCATGCGAGGGAGGGTGTTGGAGCACGAAAAAGCACAGGGAGACAGAGTTAGGGCAGCCGGCCACCAGGTTATTGAGCAGAAGGAGGGGCATAGGCACACAAAAAGCAGGCAGGCGAGCAAGAGAAGAGCACGGGATTGGCGGTGGGAACGCAGGCATGGCATGTGAGTCGAGCAGGCAGACAGAGGGGAGAAGACGGCAGGGGTGAGCAGGGCAGGGGAGAACGAACGGGGTTGGGAGGGAAGGTGCCGGTGACCCTGGCGATGTACTGCTTGTGGATCTGCCCGCTCATCATCTGCACCGCACACACAGGGGGGATTGGACGAGGCGGTCAGGCATGGGAGACATTGCTGCCACGAGTGTGCATGCATGGTGCACATGATCCAATGCATGTGGCCTGTGTGTGGGCGTGAGTGTGGGCGTGTGTGTGGGCGTGAGTGTGGGCGTATGTGTGGGCGTGAGTGTGGGCGTCTGTGTGGGCGTGGGTGTGGGCGTATGTGTGGACGGTCGTGCCTGCAGTCGGAAGGTCTCAGCAGCAGCGGCAGACTTGGCGAGAATGAGAAGGCCCGACACGGAGCGGTCCAGGCGGTGGATGGCTGCCACACATGCATGCAGGGAGGATGCCATGCACCCATGCAGGGACGGCAACATGCACCCATGCAGGGGCGACAACATGCACCCATGCAGGGACGACAACATGCACCCATGCAGGGACGACAACATGCATGAGGGGTCAGAGGTTATGTACGAACATGTCATGTGCGCGCTACACACACTCACCGATGGCACATGGGCAGCAGGGCAACAGCAGGAGAGCAGCAAGAGGGCAGAACCTCTTCTTTGAGCAATCCAAAAATACAAAAAAGAGAATTCTAAAAAAACAGAGGACGGCAGGGGGGGGGCGATCGTACGGAAGAGCTGTCCATAGCCGTGGAAGGCCTGCAGCACACTGAGCACCGTGTTCTTGCGGTACTGCCCACACGGGTGCACCTGCCATCACCCATGCACGCACGCACACACATGGGGTACAGGCCAGCGGGGCAACGCAAAGCACACGATGAAGAAATACCATGCAGAATGTGCGTCTTGCGCAAATGTGCGCGACATGCATGCATGTATGCTCAGAGCGAAACCTGTTGCTGCAGCCTTTTGATGCATTCAGTACAACACATGGCTCCCGAGGATTTGGGACACAGAGTGATTCTTCTTCAAAGTGCCAGATACATGATAAATCAAAGGCAATGAAAACGGATGTACCCTACAGGGCATGGCGGCGCCCCCTGAGAGTGAGTGAGACACGGAGTGATGGGAGAGGAGGGAGTGCGGGCATGGCATGGCACTGACGGGCATGGAGCTGGGCTTGCAGACGACCAGCACCGTGTCCGACTCGTGCAGCACCTCCACCGCTGCTGCGTCCACCCATGGCTCGTGCCTGTGCCATGCCGCCATGCCCCCATGCCCCATGCCGGGCACAAAGGTGGAAAATTTATTGATCTCTCAGGGAATTGCTTGGCCTGTGCAGCAAATGGCGAGGAAATGACAGGGAAAGGCGATGGGGCAGAGAACGACGGAGAGTGGCAAGTGGTAGAATGAGAGGGAGTGGCACGATGGCATGCCTGTGCACATAGTGCGTCATGGTCTGAGACTGCCTGACTGCATAGTCCGGTGCCACATTGCGCCCATCCACTTGAATCCGCCCCTCCCTCACTGCCTCCTCCTGCTCACCACTCATGCACACACATGCACACACATGCACACACATGCACACACATGCACACACATGCACACATGTGCAAATGCACGCACACATGCACACATGCATGACGCAGGTGTAGCAGGGTGGTGTTAGGGGCAGGTGGCAGTAGCATGGCGCAGGACGGCTGTAGCAGTGCCTCAAAGCTTGGCCCAGGGAGGCATGCGAGGGGGAATGGGGTCACACGAGCGCATGCCTGCAGCGTGACGCCCTTGCCGTGCTGCAGCCTGCAGCGGCCTCTGCCTCAACTCACATAGTACTGCAGCGGCCTCTGCCTGAACTCGGACGCGAACAGCTCTGCAATCCTGCGCCCGTGCCAGCGCTGCTTCACCTGCTTGCAGCTCGCCAGGGAGGCGCGCGAGAACGGGTGGACGGACGGGAGGTGAGGCGGCGTGGCGAGGTGAGCATAGAAATGATGGAGAAGAGCAAGCAATGGATGGAAACCTGGGCCGCCCTGCTCACGGCATGGCGGCACACTGCGTAGCAGGCGGAAGCAATGATGCACATGCATGTGGACGGGTGAGGCAGTGGAAGTGCAGTGCGGTGCAGAGTGGTGGCACGAGGCGGCAGGGGGGAGGGGCGCGGGGCGGGGCTCACATGCGCGACGAATTGGAAGAAGTAGGGCTTCACATACCGCCGCCCTGCACGCACAGCCAAGGGGGGGGGGCACGGCGGCACCACGGGCATGGGACAGACCGTTCCGACCGCACATCAACGGCTTTTGCGCAAGAAAAAAGGTCTAAATTATGGAGAGTAAGGGAAAATGTGCAAGACAAACTGCTCGTGTGGGAACAAGCGAAAACGGCCACGCGAATGGGTGAATGAGCAGGCCCGCGTTCGCCTTGAGGGCGGTGCGTGAGGGCGGTGCGTGAGGGCGGTGCGTGTGCGGCAGGAGAGCGCCGTACCGTCGTGCACGATGTAGTCATCGCGAGTCGCCATGGACGACGGGTCCTCCCACTGTATGCCCTCGCGCCACCCGCTCGCCATTGCCGCCCGCGCTGCCCTCGCCTTGCGCGCACTACCTCTCCCTCACCCCGCGATCAGAGCCGCGCGAGTGAAGGCAGGTTTGAGTACTCCATGGAAGAACGAGAGCGGGTTTGCCCGCATTCACTATTGCTTGACTCAATTGTGATTTCGTTCCCACATACGTGCACAAGTAATTGCTCCTCCCATCGCCTTTGTCACTTCTGTTTGGGTGAATGGCCAGAGGTGTAAAGACCCTGATTCCTGGATATAATTTACCATTTTTTTCTCCACGATGCCTTCTCTGCATGAATAAAAAATCTAAACCGTAGGTCCAATATTCTCTTTGACAACTTGCAGGTGAAAATAATTGGAGTGCAAGGGAGGAAAGGGGGGTGGGAGGGGAGGATGGTGGCAATATACTGCATGCATATGCTATGACGGGCATTCAACATGAACGCCCACCTGGGAGGGGCCTACCCAACTACCATTGCCCAGGAGGTAGCTGGGACGAGCATTGGCAGAGGGGAGTGCGGGCAGTTTTGAAAGCCAGCAGGGAGGAAACGGGCAGACGTTTGGCATTGGAAAAGGAGAGGTTGGTAGCGGCAAGTGGAAGGCAGGATGGGAACATAAATAGCGAAGCGGAGGTGGACGCAGAGCCATGGGTGGTGAGTCTGCATGGACGGTAGGCAGCACACTGGCCCAGGTGTGTTGGCATACGCTTTCATCAAAACTTGAGCGGGCGGCTCCATATTAAGATTGGTGATGCAGTGCAGAGCAGAGGAGGCACGTCCTCACATCCAGTGCGTCACAGGGCGGTGGTGCTGCCTCATCAGTGCACCGCATGCACTGGCAGCACAAGGATACGCGGTGTGGTGTCAGCAGAAGACATGGGAGGAGCGGCCGTGTTTCCTGCGCGGGTGGGGGCTGGCCATGGGTGACTTGAGCAGGCGCCGCCCCAGAGCATCCACAATCATGCTCTGCTCCGTGCCCAGCGGCCCCTCCCCACTGGGCACCCCCCCTGCGCCCCCCACGTCCACAGGCCCATTGAGGTCCATGGCAGACAGGTCCAGGTCGCCACTGTCACTGCTGGGCGCACTCCACTGCCGCCCACTGCTGCTGCCACCATCAGGCCATGGCTCGGCATCACTGCCGGGGTGGGGGCGCGGCGGGGTGGCGTTCAGGTGGTCAAAGTCGCACAGCAGGTTGTCAACGGTGTGGTCGCCCACCTGCACCAGCGGCACCAGCTGCGCCACGTCCACCGCCTCCCCCGCTCCCCCACTGCTGCGCGCCCCACCTGGCCCCGGCTCCACCATTTCTGAAAAGTCCACGCTCTGCCACCCGCTGCCCTCCACCGCACTGGCAGCTGGAGGCGGCGCGGTGCTGGTGAGCACCATGCTCCTGCTGCCTCGAGGCGCGCGCAGTGTGCTGAGCAGCTGGCGCTCCACCCTGTGTGACGCCGTGGCCAGCGCTGCTGCGTAGTCCGACGACACCTCCGGGCTGCCCGCACGCCCTGCCCGCCCCGATGAGTCATGCGGCATGGAGCGACTGCCCGACGGCAGCAGCTGCCTCCTGCCCCCTGCCCCCGTGCAGTCCGGTGAATGGCGCGGGGGGAGAGCACTGGAGCGCGCACGAGAATCCGAGGACAGGGATGGCAGGGGAGGCATGGTGCGACCGGGGAGCGGAGGGGAGGAGGCAGATGCTATATTGGCGGCATCAGCGCGTGAGCGTGATAGGCGGGCAGGGAGGGTGGCGAAGTTGCCAACGGCAGGGGCATGGTCGCGGTCCAGCATGGCGGAGAAGTCACACTCGTCCAGCACAAACGACACCTCCGGCGCTGCACGCACCACTTCACCCCCTCCCACTCCGTCCCTACCCCGCCCTGTATCGCTGCCTCCTTGTGTAGTGCCCATGCCACCAATCCCTCCCCCACCCTGCCACGTGCGCTCCTCTGAGCGAGCAGTAGGTGAGCCAAAGCCCTGTGCGGCATGTGCATCGTCGCCCCCACCCCTACCGTCGTGCTCGCCCTCATGCGCGCCACCATCGCTCCCACTCCTCGCGTCCCCCTCACCCCCCTCCACATCGTCCCCGCCCCTGACCCCACTAGCAGCCAGCCATCCCTCCACATACGCTGCCTTGGAAGCACCTCCCCTCCGCCCTTCCTCTTCCTCCTTGCCCCCTTCCGTCTCCTCTACCTCCCTGAAGCACACCCGCGCCCGCCGACCCCCACGCGCGCGCCCTGTAGAAGTGCCTCCGCGCGTGCCCCCCAAAGGCACCCCTTGCTGTGCACCTGACGCCACAGGGTGGTCCTCGTCAAGTGCTTGCGCACACATGCTCTCCACCCACGGGTTGCCTGCACAACCTCCCACGCAGACGCACATGGCGAGAGAGGGAGAGCGAGAGAGAGTGTGGGGAGGGGGGCGGGGAGGGGGGGAGAGACGGAGGGAGAGAGAGAGAGAGAGAGAGAGAGAGAGAGAGAAAGAGAGGGAGAGAGGGAGGGAGAGAGGGAGGGAGAGAGGGAGGGAGAGAGGGAGGGAGAGGGAGGGAGAGGGCAAAACGGAAAGCACAACGTGAGTACTTGGCCAAAGTCCCCATATATAGGTGACTACCTATGGAGAAGTGCTTGAGATGGTGTGGGCGCAACGAGGTGCACGTAATGTATCAATCAGTCGCTAGCAGGCAACGAGCAAAGAGCAGAGCGAAGAAGGCAGAGAACAGAGAGCAGGGAGCAGGGAGAGAGGGGAGACAGAGAGAGAGAGAGCGCACAGAAGAGAGAAGCGAGAGAGCAGAGCGAAAGAGCAGGGAGCAGGGTGTGAGAGAAGGGAGCAGAGAGCAGAGAGCAGAGGCAGGGGAGTGAGACGTACAAAGGGCTTCGTTGGGAGTGGCTCGCTGGGCGGGGAGGCGGCAGAGCAGACGCGAGAGGAAGTGGCGGGCAGCGGCGGACATGGGGGGGCACGGAGGCGAGCACACGTCCGCACTGTCCGCTGCGTCGCCATGGGCGGCGGCAGCACCAGCCTCAGACGAGGCGGCGAAGGGCGGCCTCCCCGAGAGCAGGAAGAAGACGAGCGCGCCCACCACCCACATGTCCGACTCGCCCTCGCCCCCGCTCCCTGCACACTCCGGCGCCTCAAAATGGCCCCGCCCTGCCTTGCTGATGCGCTCGCGCGCTGCACATGGGCGCGCGCGAGGGAGGTGGCAGGAGATAACGAGCTTGACGCGAGGTGTAGGCAACCCACGGCAAGGAGTGCAAGGACGTGCGTGTCAGGGGAAAAAGGAGGAAGCAACAGGACGGGGCGGGGACGCGGAGAGGTAGCGCGCGTACCGGCGGTGACGAGGTGCTGGGTGGCGGGGTCGAGCATGGAGATGTCCGCCGCCATGCGCGGGCCGAACAGCAGCAGCTCCTCGCCCCGCGCGTGCAGGCGCATCACGTTGCGCACGCGGAACTGGTTCACCGCCGCCGTCAGCTGCCGCGCCACCCTGCCCGCCGCCGCCTCGCCGCATGGCGCAGCGCGCTGCAGCACGCCCAAGGCCGCCTGCTGCTCCGCCTCGTCCCCGCCATCCATGCCCGCATGCACGCCCGCGCACCACCGCCCGCCCTGCCAGTCCATGGGGAACAACGCCACGTGCATTAGCGGCGCAGGCACGGGGGCTCGGCAGTTGAGCGAGCAGCATGATACTACGGGCACGAAGCTCATCGTACAGACATTATACGGTCACGAGAAACGACAAGACTCGGGGTACGTGGCACGAGCGAATTCTGCATGTGGGCTAGCCTCCAGCGGCAAGGGCACAACGCGATCAATGGCGGCGGAATGACGGCAACATGGGCCCGTTGCGCAGTGCATTGCGAAACCACGGCGCAAGTGCGCGCGACAGAGCGGTCATAGTAGCGCTGGGCACTTGTGGAGTCATTCGCACACGCTCATCTTCGCACCTGATACCAGCCGCCCCAAGCACCATCTAACCCATCTCTCTACTCTTGATTCTGAATGCTTGTTTGGTTAGCGTGTGTGCGCGACAGCGGCGAGCGTAGCGCACAGACATGAGCAGCCCCAGTCGCGACTGGACAGGCCGTGCAGGCGGGAACCTCGCAGCTTAGAGCGCGTGAGTTTAGGCGCGATATGCGAGACACACAAACGGTACAGCGGTTCTGATCACTCTGGGCAGCCTGACATGCTCAGCGACGGCACTTTAGGTGCGAGTTAAAGCGGACAGGTTTGGCGCAGCTAAGTTACTGCTCGATATATTTCCTTCCACGAAACGGCAGACAGCGAAAGCACGCGACAGCGGCGGGCTCGTGAGCAGAAGACAAATGCGGCGTTCAGGAAGGGGGTGATAGGCTGCGGACAATGCGCTAACAGATGGCAGCACAAGGCCGCACGCCGCCAGGACATGAGGGTATGATGGCCCGAACGGCCACACATGGACTAACGAAAAAATGAAGGCATCTGAAATGGAGGACCTGGTTGGTGCGAGGTAGACGGCGTCGCTGTGGAGAGGGCCGCGAGCAGCGGCGGTAGGCGCGTCAGGGCGGACTCGCAAGGCGCGGAGAGTGCGCCCCGACGTGGGTGCCGTTGAGAGCGGGGAGCGCGTTGGGAAGGAAGAGAGACTAACCACAGGGTGGAACCGCGGGGGAGCCCCAGGATAAAAGTGGGTGGGGTGCTAAGGCACTAGACTAGAAGACTAGGCGCGGGCTTCGAAAAGTTTATTACTTGCACTGTCACTAGATCTGCAGGCAGGTGAAACGATTGCGTCTACGTGACCATGCCTGGAAATTATCGTTGGGCGCGACGAACCTTGAGGCCACGTGCCTGACTTGGCTGTCGATGCGGTTGTTGTGTCATCGAATTGTAAGGATCAGAAACGAAAACCCTAAACAAGACGCGGCAACAATCTCCTGGAGGGGAAGGTTATATGCTCTAGTGACTGCTCATGGTGCTTCTGTGCAAAGGAGGTACACTCCACAATTCAACATACCTATTTCCTCCAATACGGTATCTTCCACAAGGTTATTATATTTTCTCAAACGGCTTATCCAGAAAGCCGCAACAATCTTCTAGCCCTAAAAACCTTAGAATGTGCACTTGGGTTTCCTGACATGAAGTTGCAGCTTGGATTAGAACACGTCAGCACTCATGAACTGTTCACATAGCAACCAACATACGCACATGCCCTAAACTAAGCTCGAATATGAGATGTTCATTCTTATGTACACATCAGGCAGTCAGCCAGCCTTCTTCAAGTCGGTAAAACGGAGGTACTTCTTGCCAGAAGGCAGTTCAACGGTCTCATGCCCTGGAAACTTTTTGGCTGCCTCATCCTCAGAAAGCGAGGGGGGGACCACCACCTTGTCACCCTTCTTCCAGTCTGAGGGTGTGGCTATCTGGCGCTCTGCAGCAAGCTGGAGAGCGTCTATTGCTCGCAGCACTTCGTCAAAGTTACGGCCAACAGAACCAGGGTAGAGGAAACTCAGCTTCAGCTGCACCACAAACGGTTGGGCAAAAACAATAGTGCGAACTAAGGCCAAAACCTTAAAAAAAAAACCGGGACAAGGAGTGCATGACACAAAAGCAAGATAATGAGCGTACCTTCTTGTCTGGGCCGATGATGTGCAGTGCACGAGAGGTGAGCGGCCGACCATTACTATCTTTCAGGTCAGGGTCGAGCATGTTAAGCTTCTGGGCCAGATCACGCGATGGATCAGCAATTATTGGATACGCGACCTTGGCTCCTGGGGTGTATGCCTCGATATCCTTGATCCAAGCCACATGGTCTTCCACGCTGTCGCACGAGAGCCCTGAAACACAACCGCCACAGCAGCCATGTCTTCCTCACTGTTCCCAACAATGAAGATTCTTGTACTGACAGACCATGATGTATAGAATTGGCGGTAAAGTATGTGTAGATTAATTACAGACTCACCAATGAGCTTCACTCCACGCTGCTCGAACTCCCCGCTCCGAAGCGCGATCTTGCCTAGCTCCGTGGTGCAGACGGGAGTGAAGTCGCCCGGATGCGAGAACACCACAGCCCAGCTGTCGCCCACGAAATCGTGCAGCTTCATGCGTCCTCCAGTGGAGTCGAACTCAAGATTCGGCACCACCTCACCAAGCGTAAGGCTAGACATCGTGCTGCTCTTCCTAGTGCCGCTCAGGTCTTCGCTGCTCTCAGTAAGAGAATAACCCCCTGCCGCCGAAACCGGAGCTCGAGAGGAGACCTTCAACGAATGGAAGTCGTGCGATCTTCCCTTCAAACGAGGGCCAAGGACTTGCCAAGGAACGGTAACAAAACCAGAGGAAGTGTTTGTACGACAAGCAGCCGAAGTTGCAGGAGTGGAGACTCGAGCAGCACCAGTTCGCGCAACGAGAGACGTCATGGGCACAGTCAAAGACCTCGTGCCGGGGTGTTTCAATATCTGGAAAGCGCGCCTGGAATGCATGGCGACGAGCTATGGAAAAGGAAGACCCAACGAAGAGCGGACTTCATGCTGTGCGCGGGTCGGTACTCCATCGGTTCCTCCAAAAAGCGCTTCGAGTCTAAGGCGATCAACACAAGGCCACGTGGGAAGCAGCATGAGCTGAAAACAGAAAGTTTCGAATTATCCCAGAAAAACTAAGCTGCTTTCTTGTCGTGGCTAGTGGATCATCGATGTAAGGAAAAACCCTTTTCCTTACTGGGGTTTACTCAACCGCGTACAACCCCAACTTTCGGAAGTGCACGTTCGGCCGCTTTGCTTGCTGCCGAAGCAACCTCGCGTCGCCTTCGGCTTTCCTTTGCCCAACCTGCACTCAACCTCGTGTTCCCGAGGTTCCCGCCTAGTTAGGTTGCCTCGCTATATAATCGCATGTCTTTCATTGTATCGTCAGTTTCATTGAGTCACAGCCTCGTTATTCGTTATTCCGCGCAACTCTGTTTGACAACTCATAACACCTGGTATCAGAGCTACTTTCCTAGTTCACCCCGCTTTTCCAGGGTAGTTTAGAGGCACGGGTGTGATTGGTACGGTGGGCTGCAAAGCGGTTGGTTGCAAAGTTTATTAAATTAAACTTGCCCGACCCCGATAGCTTTTGCGCTTGCACTGTTGCCGGATAGTCACGGATACCCACTTGCCTACTAGACGTAGCTTGCGACTCATGGATCAGGCGGCATTTGACGCGTTGATGCAGCAAGTGGCGGAGATGTCGGCAGGCATGAAGGCGTTAACGACAGAGGTGGAGAGACTACGTGAAGAAAACAACGAGCTACGCCAGGCGCGAGGTGAAGCGCGCCAGGAGTCGCCCGCTGAAGAAGGCGAGAGCACTGGTCAAGCGGTGAGCGGCAATCCGTTGGAGGAGCTCACACGCGGCTTCGAAGAAGAAGATAGGCAGCGAGCGGCGGCAGCGACAACAGTTGCAGTGACAACAATCAAGATAAAGCCTACGAGCCCGCCCCCGTTCAACCCTACCGACAAGAACACTACTGTTAAGGGGTGGTTGTTCGGCGTGGAGGTGTTCTTCACTGCAGCGAACGTCAACGACGACGCCACGCGTATTAATTACGCGGTATCGCTTCTGCGAGGCCCGGCGCTTGAGTGGTGGCGACGAACCTTGGACACGGGGACCCCGACAGGTGTGACACATGCGGCAGACGGGACTTCGGACTCTGCTATTGGGAGGGCATCATCGATATTCGGTGTGGCCACAATTCGCACGTGGAAGCAGTGGGGCGCAGCCTTACGAGAGCGTTTCGAGCATGTATCCGCCTCGGAACACGCTCGCATGAAGCTGCGTACCTGGTCACAGTTGGCTTCTGTTCAAGACTACACAGCGTCGTTTATGGCGCTCGCGGATCAAGTGGACGACATGGCGGAAGCTGAACGGTTGGATAAATACATCAGCGGCTTGAAGTATGAGATACAGTACGAGGTGCGCCGCAGCCGTCCAGCAACATTCAACGAAGCCGTCCGATTGGCCGAGAGCACAGACGCGCTGATGCAGTGGGCGAGATCGAGTTCTCGGGAGGGAAACCGATTTCGTGGACAGACCCAGCGGGCCACGATTAACGGAGTCCATGCGCCAGACCGCCCTTTTACAGGGTTGTGTTTTAAGTGCGGGAAGCCGGGCCACATGTATAAAGACTGCCCCGACAGGACGCAGGGAAAGAAGAACGACGGGAAGGAGCCGGGAAATGGGAAGAGTCAGTAACAGACGGGCCCCTTACTGACTGCGCTCTGTCGCCCGAACCCCACCATCCCCACCGAGTCGTGGTTCCGATTCATGCAATCGATCGCACTCGGACGAATAACGGGGGTGAACATGTGGATCACCCTGTGCTGGTTGTTGGCACGGTTGTTAAGAAAAAAATTAAAATGTTCGTCGATGGCGGGGCTAGCCATAGCCTCTTCAATCTGGCGACAGCAAAAAAATGCAAGTTGCAGCTGGACAGGTGTCTGCCCGAAATTGACGCCCGCCTCGTGGATGGGACGCCTCTGGCGATTTTGGAAGAAACACGGACGGTGCGGATTGAGTGCGGCGACGATTTCGGCTTCAGCATGAAGTTTCTCGCGACGACGTTGGACGGATGCGACGTGCTCCTGGGACGCGATTGGCTGCGACGGCACAACCCGGTAATCGATTGGACGACGGGATCGTGCAGCATCAGCAAGGACGGGAAGCTGATTACTCTGCCCGCGTGGACTCCGGACTGCATCGAGTCTACATGCGTCAAAGCCATCACGATTACACGCCACGTCAACAGGGGTGCGCAACTGTTCGCCGTATGCTTGCGCGAGTTGGCAGCCGACACTGACGGAAACGACATCGAGAAGCTGTGCGCAGCTGTACCACCTGATTTAGCGGAGCTGATTCGACAATACCCCGACATCTTCCCCGACGATTTGCCACCTGGCCTGCCACCCGAGAGACCCGAAGACCACAAAATCCAGCTGGAACCTGGCGCGCATCCGACTGTTCGTACACAGTGGCGGTTGACTCAGCCCGAACTCGCGGAGCTTCGAAGTCAACTTGAGTCACTGTTGGAGAAGGGCTTCATCCGACCCAGTACTTCGCCCTTCGCCGCACCGATCCTGTTCACACCGAAGAAGGACGGCGGCATTCGCATGTGCATCGACTATCGCGCGCTCAACCGGGTTACCATCAAGTCTCGCTATCCCATCCCACGCACCGACGACCTCCTCGACCAACTTCGCGGCGCTCGCTACTTCTCAAAGATTGACCTACGCGGCGGTTACCACCAAATCAGAGTATTCGCTGACGATTGTCACAAGACCGCCTTCCGAACCCGCTACGGCAGTTACGAGTTCACAGTGATGCCTTTCGGCCTCACGAACGCGCCATCAACATTTCAACGCACCATGAACAGGGTATTTCGCGACCTGCTGGACAAGTGTGTTATCGTCTACTTGGACGATATTCTGATTTTTAGCAGGACACGCGAGCAGCACCTCCGCGACCTCGACGCAGTGTTTAAGCGGCTACAGGAGAACCGGCTCATCACCAAAGGCTCTAAGTGCGAGTTCTTTAAGCAAGAGTTGGAGTTTTTGGGGCACGTCATCTCACGCGACGGCATCAAAATCGACCCGAAGAAAATCAAGACCATCCAGGAATGGAAGGCCCCGACTAATGTCACAGAACTTCAGAGTTTTCTGGGGTTTGTGAATTATGTCCGGCGGTTTATCCCGAATATGGCGGGGATAACCGGCCCGCTGACCGACCTGCTGCACAAGGATAAATATTTCGTGTGGGGGGAAGAGGCTGAGGCGGCTTTTCAGGAGTTGAAGCAGTTACTGGTGTCCCCTCCGGTTCTTCGCATCGCCGACCCATCCAAGCCGTTCGAAGTCGTCACCGACGCTTCAGATTTCGCCATCGGCGCAGTGCTGCTCCAGGATTTTGGCAACGGCTTACAACCGATCGCCTACGAGTCACGCAAGTTGCAGGCAGCCGAGCGCAACTACCCGATTCACGACAAGGAGATGCTCGCCATCATTCACGCGTTTAAACTGTGGAGATGCTACCTGACTGGCGCCGACGTCACTGTTCGCACCGATCATAAATCCCTACAGTACCTTCGAGCGCAACCCAACCTCAACCCACGACAAATCCGGTGGCTCGATTACATGGAGTCACACTTCCACTACAGGATCACCTACAAGAAGGGCGCGAACAATATTGCCGACGCCCTGACCCGACCGACAGTCCAATCCGCTGCTGTGCCGCTTCTTTCGGGACTATTCACCCACGGCTACACTACGGACCCGTTCTTCACGACTGGAAATCACCAGCAGGCGACGACGCAGAAAGGGAATTATTACCTAAAGGCCGGAACTGACCGGATTTGGGTTCCCGCTTACCGGCTGCTGCGCGAACTCCTTATTCAGGAGGTCCATGATTCCAACCTCTCCGGACATTTCGGGGTTGATAAAACCCAGAAGTTGTTGCACCGTCAGTATTATTGGCCTGATTCTGCTAACGACGTGCAGCGATATGTGTCCTCATGCAGGGTGTGCCAAGCCATGAAATCGACACGTCAGCGGCCAGCTGGGTTGCTGCAACCTCTCGAGCCACCCGAACGACCATGGCAACAGGTGACGATGGACTTCGTCACGGGGCTGCCAGCTGGGCCGTCCGGCAACGACGCTGTACTCGTCGTCGTCGATCGCCTCACAAAAATGGCGCATTTCGCACCTTGTCGCACGACAATCACCGCCGAAGAAACTGCACGCCTCTTCATCTCCACCGTTGTGCGACTACACGGCATCCCATCGGCGATCATCAGCGACCGGGACCCAAAGTTCACATCGAAATTTTGGAAGGAGACGTGGGCGCAGTACGGAACGAAGCTACAGTTCTCGTCGGCATACCACCCGCAAACCGACGGCCAGACCGAGCGGACCAATCAGACGATGGAGCAGCTGATCAGGACAAACTGCCCCGACCCCGCTCGCTGGGAACATTCGCTCGCCATGCTGGAATTCGCGTTCAACAACGCTCCGTCCAGCACGACTAGTAGTGTAAGGAAAAACCCTTTTCCTTACTGGGGTTTACTCAACCGCGTACAACCCCAACTTTCGGAAGTGCACGTTCGGCCGCTTTGCTTGCTGCCGAAGCAACCTCGCGTCGCCTTCGGCTTTCCTTTGCCCAACCTGCACTCAACCTCGTGTTCCCGAGGTTCCCGCCTAGTTAGGTTGCCTCGCTATATAATCGCATGTCTTTCATTGTATCGTCAGTTTCATTGAGTCACAGCCTCGTTATTCGTTATTCCGCGCAACTCTGTTTGACAACTCATAACAATCGAATTTCCCCGTTACATGAAGACGTGCATCAATATTTGAAACAGATAAACAGAACAGACTTACAGCACACTCACTTTTACTTTCGCAAAATTAGGTTTTAATAACTTTTCAAATATTGGCTGTTGGTTCCTTTTATTAAACATATTAAA